CCATTCATTGAGCTTGACGCCTCGTTGTCATGTGCCTTGATCACAATATCAGTAAGGACATCCATTGCTATAACAAAGAGCAAAGGTGAGATAGAATCCCCTTGCCGAAGACCTTTAGCGTGCATGAACTTAGCTCCGGTGGATCCATTCACAATCACTCTGGAACTAGCCGAAGTGAGTAAAGTGGCAGCCCAATCAATCCATCTGTCCGAAAATCCTTTTGCTCACAACACCTTGAAAAGGAATGGCCATGAGAGCGAGTCAAAAGCCCTCGAAATGTCCAGCTTCAGCATCACCCCTTTGGTCTTTCTCTTGTGCAGCCTGCGTGCCATTTGCCTTACTAGCAGAAAGTTATCATGAATATTCCTGCCTTTGATAAACACTGATTGATTAATATGCACCAAGTCTCCCATCCTCGGCCTCAACCTCATTGCCATAAGCTTGGAGGCAATCTTTGGCATACTATGCACTAAGCTTATCGGCTGAAAGTCATTAACTCCACATGCCTCTGGTGACTTCGGGATTAGCGTTATGAGTGCTTGGTTAAGTCTCCCGAACCCAACTCCATTACCAATGACCAGTTTATGCAAGGCCGCAATCAGATCACCCTTGACAATCTTCCAGGCTTTTTGAAAAAATAGTCCGATGAACCTGTCTGGGCCCGACGCCTTATCCAATGGCATCTCTTTTATGACCGCACAAACTTCTGCCTCCGAGAAAACTAAGTCTTGCTCAGAAAGGTCCACCGCTACCATATCCAGAGCTGCCAAGTCCATTGTGTGCTCCCTAGCTACATCCCTGCCAAGGAGAGCTTTATAAGCATTAAGGAAGGCCTCCTCTTTGCCGGCCTGATCCGTAATGACTTGACCATCCACATGTATAGCTGGGATGTAGTTCTTCATTCTCCTCCCGTTGGCCACCAAATGGAATAGCTTGGAGTTGGCACCCCCTTCATGTAGCCAAGTAATCCAAGATCTCTGGCGGGAAATTGTTCTCTCCAGTGATGCAAGACCAAGCACCAGATGCTTGAGCATACCCCTCAACCCACGTTCCTCAGTGGTCAAAAGACGTATATCTTGAGCGTAGTCAAACTGCAGGATCATGAGATTTGCAACAGCGATCTGAAGCTTAATATTGCCCACTCTTTTTTGACCCCAAATCGCTAGACTCTTGGCCGTGTTCCTGAGCAGCGTGTCCAATCGATGGAAAGGGTCCGTGATCTCCGGGTCGCAAACCCAAGCTTCCTTCACAACCTCCAAAAAACCATCAAGCTTGACCCAAAACTTCTCAAATTTAAATCTTTTCTTGTAGTGCATATGCTCTTCGAGAGATAGGAATAAGGGACGGTGGTCCTAAGTTGATGTTGACAGTGCCTGCAACAAGCATTCTGGATGGTCCAGCTCCCAATCAATTGAGACAAAAGCACTGTCAATCTTGATCAACGTCGGAATCTCCCTTTCACTGCTCCACGTAAATCTACGCCCATGCAGGAAGAGTTCCTTGAGCGCATTATCCTCCACAAACCTTTTAAATCTACTCATCATTCTCCGATCCAAAAGGGCATTGTTTTTGTCAGCCGCATGTAAAATCATGTTGAAGTCTCCCCAAACCAGCCAAGGGCCAGGACAGAGCTGCCTCCTCGCCGCTAATTCATCCAAGAACATGATCTTTTGGGCATCCTCTTGCGGGCCATACACCATGGTAAGCCACCACGACGGTCCCTCCAAAGAAGAGACATATCCAGTTGTGAAGTTAGTATCATTGACAAAGTTTGTCAATTGCACCTTTGTGGAATCCCACGCCACAAAAATCCCTCCCCGAGTATCCGACGTCGGCAAGTAGTAAAAGCCATCATAGGCTGGCCCTATACATTGCATTATTACAAATTGATCCACCGTCTCCAGCTTAGTTTCTAGGATACAAATGATAACTACTCGAAAAGATTCTACAAATTCTCTAAGGGCCTTCTTCCGGGCGGGGCTATTTAGTCCCCTCACATTCCAACACACCAGCTCCTAGTTGTTGTATGACATGGAAAATATGTGCTCCATGTCCGTACCCACCTCCCTGCTAGAGACCTAGACGGCCACCAGCTCACGGCTCTCCAGATCGGCTCCCAAGTTTAGTGAAATTGCCTTGCCAAAGATGGCTGCAATCACCCTCAACTATTGCTCTTGCAGAGGTGAACCAAACACCTCTCTCAGTTGACCTAGCGCGTCCTCGGAGACCGCCAGATCATCACAATCGAACCTGAGCATCTTGAGTAGGACCGATTCCGCTGCCGAAGCCTTGGATTTGCATGGACCGCCCACACCAAGCGACCTAGTCGTGTGTCGCGATGTAAACGGGTCCTGCCCAGGCTGAACTCCCCGCAATCCCTCAAATTCCTTAAGCAGAGGAGGTGCTAGCTTCTTCAACAAACCCGTGCAAAATGTCTTGATGTTGACAAGTGCCATTTGCTCCTTAGAAGAAAGCCTCGTATCTGCGCAATCCATCTGACTAGCACTCGAATGCACGTTGCATGCTGCATTGCATGGCATGGACGTAGTCACGTCGAGGGGTACGTGCATGTGCATATCAACATCCATGCCAGCTGCACGGTCCACAAGGCGCGGCCCCACCAAACAGTCCATCCCCTCGCGGCCAGCCTCTCCCAGCCTCCTGTCGCAATCTCCAGTTGGGTCCTCGATTCCCACCTCCGCAGGCGTGGTAGTGGGAGGCAGCAGTTCTTCCACCGGGTCCCACCCTGGTGTTGTCTCCTGATCCAGAGATCCCATCGTTCTTTGTGCCTCACGAGCTGGCCCACTCTGGGGCTCCACATGACCGGTCTCCGCAACTGCCAGGTCGCCCAAACTCTGTCCCACTGGGCCCGCGGCAGCAGTGGTAGCTGCCACCTCAGCCTGTACCGTCACCGCATTGGCTGGCTCGCTCTCCAGGGGTGTGGACTGAACAGAATCCTTGGCGATCCCCATGCCCTATCCCAGCGCTGCCCCATTGGATATCTCTTGTCTACCCAAAGCAGCCACCTCGGGATCCACCGAACCTGCCACGACAGCTTCTGTCGCCACGCCCTACACACTAATGGGAGGAGGGGGAGACTGGTCTGGTCTATGGGAAGGCGATCGTGGGCCCTCTGCAACCACCAAATCTTGACCCAAAGTGGCGACCACATGATTCTTTGTGGCCGAGCACCTCGGATCCACAGGCTCCCGCTGACGGCCTTGCACAGGCTCCACCGCCGCCACCGGCCTCCCCAGTGCCGGAGGCCGGACCGTCGGCGCTGCAGTAATCCCCAACCTCGACGACACGGCCACCCGGGCGCCTGCCATGATTGGCGGAATGCACCAATCCGAGGGCCCCACGCGCCCCATCAACGCCTGTCGATACGAGCCACCGGCAACACCTCCCGCCGGCGCACCGCCTCTGACATCCCGAACTCCACGCGTCCAAGGTAGCACACGTCATTCCCCACTTCCTGAGAAACTATCCGAGTCTTCTGGCAGACCGCTTTTGGCGCTCCCATCTGAGCTTGGCGGCCACAACCACCCCTCCGGACCGGCGTGCTCTTTGACCCTGCCAATATGGATGAGCGTCTTGTACTCGAGCAGCTGACGGGAAGTTGGCCGGCGAGCCGCCGGGTTGAGCTCCGCCTCTAGCTCCGGCACCCACAGTCTCCTCGCCACCGGCACCTCATCGGGGTCAACGCACCAAGCCTATAGCTTGAACAGGGAGAGGTCCTCGCGGCTGGCTGTCTCCGGTGCCAAGCTCCCCACCAGGCAGCCCGAACCCAAGAGCTCTGCAGCCCTGTCCCTCGTCCAGACATGGGAAGGCACTCCCTCAATCATCAAATCCACTTGAGAACGCATCACTTTTGACACTGCTTGTGCTTGCCGCAGCCAAGGCCTAAAAAACAACTTGAAGAAGCCATGCTCAATGAAGTCCGCCGCAAGGGCCTGGTTCCTGAGCTCCGGCGTCGCAAAGACCACAACAAAATCCTCCGGGAAGAACTTATGAACGGAAAACTTGTGTCTGTGAACATCCAATTGGGCCGCGATAGCCTCCGCTGCCTCCACACACGAAACCGCCGGCCTGGAACCGCCAATGTATGCGACCACAACTGTTTTGAGTCTTCGCTCCATGTCATCCATCTCATGGGTCCGCGAGATGATGCAGACGTCCATGGCCGCTGGAGCCGCGGCCGCCGTATGCAGCGCCAGCCAGGCTCCCGCAGGTACGGTGTCGGCTGGGACTGACGAGGGCCTCCCTTGGTGAGAGACCTGCCGAGTCGCCGGCGACAGCCTGCGCGCGAGCCCTGCTGGCGGCTGCTGCAGACCAGTCCGCGCCACCTTGGCCATGGCCTCACGTCGGAGTTCCTCTTCTGACCGCGGGCTCCGAAAACTATACAAGTTAAATACTCTAAAAAAAAGCTATGCAGGTTAAATACTTGGGTGTGGTACTTCTTTGCTTGTTCAGGAAATATACTGGAAATGGTGAAGATTAATTTGGCGTGGGTTCCAGTGTAGATTAATTTAGTTGTCCGGGCTGATCCATTTCAGACTTTCAACTGCATGGCATCGCAGACAGGCTGAGCAAGTTGTTCAGCTAGCGACCTCTCTCTCTTTTTTTTTCCTTTTTTTTTAGAAACAGCGACCCCTCATAAAGGAAGAAAAAGTTGTCTAACTAGTGAACGTGGACCTATCCGGACAGGGTCGCACGGCACGGCCCAGTCGGAGCCGACGTCACCCCACACTTAACCCTAGAGCAACCCCTCAAAAGAAACAAAACAAAACTTAACCCTAGAACAACCCCTCAAAAAAACAAAAAAACAAAACTTAACCCTAGAACATCTTCCAGGCGCCTCCCTGCTCGCCCTCTCGCTCTCGCGTACTCGGCAAACCAGGGACGGCGACCGCTCTTCACCGCTGCCCCCCTTCTCCTCTCGGGCATCGGCAGATCTGCGCGGGCCACTATCCTCTCCTTCCCCACAGTCCTTCCTAGCCATGGTGAGCCCCCTGTCCTCTCTTTCGTCTAGGTGACCTCCTTCCATGTATACCATCGCCGCAGAATTTGTGCGGCCACTGAGGTCAGGTGAAGTTCCCTTCGAAACCTAGGTTGCTTGGTTGTAGTCTTGTAGATTGGAGGAGTTGGTAGAATCTAAACTCTTGTCTCCTTTTGTTTTTTTCCGCTAATGCACTGCCTGCTGCCGGCTAGTTAGGGCACATCTTCCATGTTTCCAGCTTCTATTATTTCTAAGCATATAATATATAGTTAAAAAAAGCGCTAGGCGTTAATTGTACGTTTTGCCACAGCATTGCGCTTTTCTGACCAAAACCCACCCTTATGCACAAATTAAGCGCAATTAAGCACCTTGCGCTTTTCTGACCAAAACCCACCCTAGAGCCTTAGGCATGCCTTTCTTAACTATGAGCATATAGAAAAGTAGGTTATGTATAGCCTTTTAGGTTTTAAGCTGAGAAAAGGGACTATGGGAGGATGTGTCGAGCCGAGCCGAGCCATGGCCTATCCGAAGACGTTGATGATCACCTAGCGCTATTGATTATGTTTCTGCTAAGGTTTGAGTCCGTCCTCGGGTCGGATTCAGATCCTTTTATCCCTTTTGTAATTCCATAGATATGGATGTCTCGACTGCCGAATCCGAATCCTTAGAACAACTCGATTTCGCTGATTCACTGCCCATTTTTCATATAGTCTTTTCTTTCTTTGTAGTTAAGCAATAATGTTTGGTACAAGAAAAGGCGTAGATAATGTGCATTGATTTTGAGTTCGAATCGAAGCAACTAGTTTCCACGTTTCTCCTGTAACCTACTGTTTAGGGGTGGTTGTGTCTGGATCAGCATGTTCAGTGTGTATATATTTTCTTTGGTGATTGGTGGCGACCACGGAAAAATCACTTTCTTCCCCGAGTTCTTGGAACTCAACCCATATCTTCCACAATCGACCGACCCCCATCACGCCACAACACATCACTCTCGACAACATCGTGCATATATTGGCCGCCCGCCTAACATACCTTTTGGATTATATACAACAGGGCTTGTGAAACAAAGTATACTCACCATTCTTTCAAAAATGGCTAATCTCATGTCGGATACGTGCCAGTGCAACATAGCTTAGGAAAGGAGCCTTTGGACTTAAATATAAAGATGGCTGCGGAACAAAGTATTTTGTGTGTTTTGTTTCCCCCCTATATGTGTTTCACATGAAATACTTATGTTGTAGTCTTATGGGCAAGGAGACAATCAAGGCATATTATCGAGCAAAATCAATTTCGGCAAGAAAAAGAAATATCTGATATTTAGGCCCAGTATTAAAGATAGAGTGCTGCTTATTTACTTATTATCCATTTCGCCATCAGTTATGCTTAAACACTTCCTACAAAATGCACATGAAAAGCTTTCCTGCAATTTAGAAGAGCATAGTTATTGGCTTGCACAATATGAGAATTTATCTTTCAAGCAGAACATGTAGTTACCGCCAGGAAGTAATGCCTGCTATCTGAATCATTATTCAATTTTGTCTGTTTCCCCTTTCTTATGAGTTGCCATCATCAATGTGATGTGTAGTCGATCTTAAAGGCATCGTTTGGTGCTGTGAGGAAGCCTGAGGCTGTAGGCAGCTGGCGGCGCATCAACCGTCTCCCGTGAGGAATCAACAGTGTGGATGAAGGAGAGGAGGCAGCATGGGGAAGAAAGGGCGAAGGAGAGAACGCTGTGTTGTGGTACCTGTCTGGTTGCTGGCGTACTGCTGCTTGCCTGCTCGTGGAGTTAGGGCTAGCGGAAATGGGGACGGGGTGGAGTCGGCTGCATGGAAGAGAATCTTGGGGGAGCCCTAACTTCGTGTCGTGTGCATATGTGTCGTTCTGGTGCTTTAATGGACTGGGCAGTCTACACTGACTCCTTTTTATTCTCTTTATATTTTCTTTCACGAATGTGTGCCTTCTTCAATCTTCTGCATTGTTAGACTGCCACCTAGCCTGCGCTTAAGCGGGGTAGGTGATAAGCGCTAAGCGGCCATCCAGCAGCTGCCTCAAGGATCTAGCATGTTGTTGGACCTTGATATGAAATTTTTACTCTTTCTCAAACAGAACGAAAGCTATTTGGTGATTGCATGACTAAGTATGTTATCAATACTATTGCTTGTTGCAAGACATCGTGTTGGGTTGCGTTTACTTCACTCTACAACTATTATTACTACCTGACAAGAAGTTTTGTGGATACAATAATTGCATAATATCTTCAACTTAAGAACTATCATGGTATCAATCAAACCGTGTAAACAGAGGAACCATACCTCACATGCAATCAATGGGTACTCTAGACAATCTTCACTTTTGTAGTACTGGCTCTGTTAGTACAAGAGTTGCGTCTATTTTAGAAACCTATTCAACACTCAGATACGGACAAGTTTATTAACTCTTTATCCCACTTATTTAGCAGCCATTAATATACATTGTTATTCACTGTGGTATTTAACAAAGATTAAGTTCATCCATTGGTAATCTTGGAGCAATTTGTGTGCGTTGATATCTTAATCTGTTTTTGTGCATGTTGTAGGCTGGGAGGCACACCATTATTCTGATGCAACCATCCCAAAACAGGAGCTCCAGGACGTTCATGGATTATAATTCAATTAACCATGCATTGGATGGTACGTGTAGTTTCTTTAAGAAACCTGTGCTGCAACGTTCAATTAGCTAGCCCAGTTAATATTATTAGCACGATCATAGTGATCACCATGTGAACTGGAGATTTTGTGTACTTGCTCTTATGTTTTGCATTTGCAACCTCATTCGTTTTTTCCTCATTAACAAGCCTTTCCCCTCAGTTTTGACTGCTAAAAATGACTAGTTTTGAAATTTAATAATGATCAGCCTGTGCCTATCCTATCCTATTATTAGTTGCAGGCACGGTCAATATTTAAGGCTCTATCTGTCTATGCATTAAACTTGTGAGTGCTCGAGTTTTAGGAAACCAAAGATGAACTGGGTAGCTCCTCAGTGGCAGTGTATCAAATTAGAAGTATTCTATTGAGAAGGACCAATGCTTCATGTTCCCTGCTCTATGCTCAACTGCTCTCTGATGGTTACGTCATATGCCGTAATAGAAAACAAATTCTTTTTTCCTCAAGAATTGCTTGTTGTTTAATTTTGTTTTGTAAATTCGTTAACTGTTTGCTACCACTCCATGGAAATGGCAGGAATCTGTGGTCTCTATGAAAGGAAAATCAGGGATATCAACCCAATGATCCCGAACATAACCTATGACATCACTGATCTGTACAACTTCATCGACGGCCTAGCTGACATCAGTGCGCTAGTGTGAGTACAATATAACTTTTAAGATCATCAATCGTTATTAGATCGCTGCGGGGCAAAGTTGATTCACATGTTCCTGTCCAGAGTTTAAACATATATCTATGTTTTCTGTTTGCAGCTATGATCACGAAATCCATGCGTTTCTGCCATATGACCGGCAGTGGATAAAGCAGAAGCTGTTTCAGCACCTTAAGAAGCTGGCTCAAAGATAGTGACTGGTGCGTGGTGTTTGGTTCAGTGTGTCGTCACCGGCAGGCATGTGTGATAATTTGTGTCCGATTAGTCCACCAGAAAGGTTTTTCTTGTACAATGATGAGAATTTCACATGGCATGCTTATATTCTGGGTGTGAAACTCATAGCTTGATGGTGGTTTGCCTCCGGCGCCCTATATATATGAGATGAACATATATTTGTTGTTTTACAAGTGTCTGTGCGTCAACGAATGCTTCAGGTACCAATCTTGGCAATGTGTCAGCTGCAACCTCATAGTAGGTCGTTATCCTGCAAGGCTTTAAGTTCAGCCATTCAAGAAGAACGTCAAAGTCGTACTCCCTCGTTCAAGATGAACCTGTTGATACTTGCATTCCAATTGAATAATACTGTACTCCCTCGTTTTTAAAAAGGTCTATAATTTTTGGATAGAGTCAAATGATTAATACTTTGTAGAAAATAATCAACAACTACAATCTTGAACAAATATAATATGAAAAATATATTTTATATTGTACTCCGTATCTATTAATTTGGTATCATAGGTCTTGATAGCTTTTGCTACAGACTTGAACAAACTTTATACCGTTTGACTAAATAAGAAATTTGTAGGCCTTTAAAAAAAATTGTAGACCTTTTCAGTGTAACGTACTACCTCTGTCCGGGTTTATTGGTCCCCATTGTATTCCGTGTTAAATTTTGACCATAAATTAAACTAACAAAATGTTCATGCATGTCACCAAACATTATATTTTTGAAAACTACTCCCTCTGTTCCGAATTACTTGTCTCGGATATGGATGTATCTAGAACTAACATACATCTAGATACATCCATTTCTACGACAAGTAATTCCGAACGGAGGGAGTATGTTCAAATATGAATCCAATGAGATAATTTTTCTTGACATGCATTAATATTTTGTTAGTTAAATCTTTAGTCAAAATTTGGCACAAACTACAAAGAGGATCTATAAACCAGGACGGAGGTAGTATGTGTGTTGTTACGGGATGATAGAAATAATTGAAGTTGTATCGGATTAGTAGTAGTATATGACAATCAATGCGCTTACAACAGACGAAGAGAAACTCAAACAAGCAGGCAACACTGCACACTTGCGTAGCTGCAGGGCCATGCGAGCACCGATGCAAGATTTGTAGCGACAAACAGCATGGCCAGATTTTGAAATTTGAAATTTAGGATGACGAAGATTAGGAGGGGCAGCTGGGGGATGCATTTCGGGGAGGAGCCGCGGCAGGAAAACAAGAGTAATCGGCGGATTGACTGGCTGGTTTGTGTCGCGGTAAAACTATATGTATTGTCATGTACGTACTTGTAAAATACTTCCTCATTTGAAACATGAGTGGGCTACATAAGTTCTCATTCAAAACATGCGAGGTGGTCGGTTGCTGGTTTGATCGAGCTATGTAAGTGTAGTCATGTATGAGATTGAGGGAGATTGGGGTGAAGTGGGAAGTGAACTCTTCTCTTCCAAACGAGAGGGGCCTGCTGGGTTCTACTTTAGTACAAAGTTGAGTCATCTATTTTAAAACGAAGGAAGTAAATAGAAGACAAAAAATGAGATGGAGCGAGAGTGAACTCATCACTAATCGCGTTTAGACGTGCTAACAAGCCGTGAAAGCTCTTGGGACAAACTCGGGGGTATTTGCTCCGAGAAAGATTAATAAATCTGTTTCTTGGCACAATCTGGCGATTCAGATTTTACAATGACAAAACATGTTACTCCCTCTGTTCACAATCGTGCTTAATTTTGCTTGTCTGAAACGACTTGTAAAAGTGAACGGAGGGAGTATATGAAATACAAGTGCAAGACCCGATTTATGAGAGCAGAAAATTCATGGCACTAGCACCAGGGGTTCACGCACTCATCAACTTCATCTGAGCTTATGCTCTACAGACCTTAAATAACAACTAAAATTCGCCCGATAATAGGGATCTTTATCACATCAGTTCCTCTGAATAAGCTGTGACGTCGTTGGTGCTACTGCTAGATTTCATACCAGAATCAGTGCCATGACCAGCTAGCTACCTGCCAGCCAGGCGACCGACGCCCCTGACCCCGGCCTCGACTGTTGCTGATGGAACAAAGCCACGAGATCTCATCATTTTGAAATATTTGCTTGCATCCTCCGAGAAACCCCCTACCAGAAGGCCTCTTATAATCCTCTCAAACTGATCAGCCTTCAGCAGTCTCTTCTTCTCTTCCAAGATCTTGAGGGATTTGCGGGCTTTCTCTTCCTGGCGTGATTTCGCATACATATCAGCAAGGTAAACATGGATCTCTAGGGGCTCTTCTCCCGCCTTTCTTATCTTTTGTACAAGTTGTTCAGCCTCTTGCACCAACTGCAACATGGACAGCCAATCCAGCAGGACCAGATTTGTCTTAACTCCAGGTTTAACCCCCTCCTTCTCTAAACTCAGCAGCAACTTCAAAGCCTGGTCCAGCTGGTTCTTCTTCATGAGTGCAGTTATCATACCAGCCAGGCAACGGTCATCTGGTTCATGCCCATTCTTCCTCATCTGTTCAAACGCTTCATATGCATAATCAGGGTTGCCAGCCCGTCCATATGCTTCTATAAGCAATGTGAAGCACTCCAATGGGGGCTCGATTCCAGCGAATGACATTTTTGTTTTTATCGATTGAGCTCCATCTACTAAGTTACGCTCAGCATATGCCCGCATCACATCCATGTATATTTCCCTGTTGGGTTTCATGGAAAGCTCATCCATATTCCTTACCAATTTCTCTGCTTGTTTCGGATCTCCAGCGTTAATACAGGCACTAATCATTGATGTAAAGAGTTTTGTATCTGGTTGGAGGCCCTCCTTTTGGATAAAGTCAAACGCCCGCGTGGCTTGTTCAAGATTGCCAGATTTGCTGTACATGTGGACTAAGGTGATGGATGTGAGGATATCAGGTGCAATATCCTTCTCTTTCATTTTACCAAGTATCCTTTCTACATCTTGCACGTGAGTTGCTTTAGAGTGAAGATCAATTAACTTGGAGTAATCTCGGATAGTTGCAGCAAATGAATCTTCATCCAAAAGAATTTCAGCAACCTATAAATTGAAACAAAGTGCAAATGTGAGGTATTAGTGCTAAGAATTTCAGCAACCAATAAATTGAAACAAAGTGCACATGGGAAATTATACAAGAGTATTAGTGTTTGCTGAATTAGTGCAGCCCGTGCAGGCATTTGAAACAAAATGTTAACTGGCCAGCTATGCAAAGTAACTAACATCATTACGGCCCTTCAGTAGTTTGATGTAACCATGTACTTGAATGCATAACTCAAGCAATTCTATGCCAAAAATAGAGAAAACAAGGGTAAATTAAGTGAGAGGTTGGACTCAGTTTATTTCTGACTGAACTCGATCAGTCATATACATTGTCCATCGCAAACTGAAGTTTCATTTCCATGTAAACTCAGACAATTTTAACCAACTTACAGAAGGCTGAAATAGTAGCAGGTTACTATACTAGACAAAAGCCAGTCAAGAATAACCTTTCACATCATGGGCCACATGTAATAGCGTTCAAAGTTATTATCAAAGCAACTGAGGCTGAAGTTCATCTAAATACCAAAGTTACACAAACCACGAATGCATCATTTGGAGAGCATGGTATCAATCCTTTCTGATATCCATTATTAACATATGTAAAAGCACTTGCGCTTGCCACGTCAAAATCATCATGCCAGGAAATAAATATCCGTAGCAGTACTTCTAAAACACGTAGCAGTATGTTATGATAAAAGTTAGTGGTTGCATAATTCAGACCATAGAACGTTAACAGCGAGTTATATTTGGGAACAGAAGGAGAGTTGTGTTGATGGACCCTACTGTTGACTACTAGACTATTGTTTTCTGGGCTAAACCGCCGCATAAAAGCTCGGAGTGGAGGTAGTTACGGAGGTCGGCGCCGACCTGGTCCCGGCGCATGGCCTCGCGCACGGAGGCGCTGACCTTCACTCCTAAAGTCACTTACATGGGCTAAACCGCCACATAAAAGCTCGGAGTTTTAAATAGTGAATTGAGGTAAAATCAGATTCCCAAAGTTTACCATGATACAGATATCCTTCCTGTCTAAAGCGAGATCAATTCCAAACAGTACATTTCGTCCTAATTATTATTAGTTTGCACATATGGGTCTCCAAGCCATGCCAAAACAACCTGATTATGCCCTTTCCTATCACGATACGGAAGAGCGATAGCAAAATATCAGTTCTATACTACAACAATTCTGGGGCTTGTATGTCCCAGACTCCCAGTCCACAAACTAGCCACTCAAAACGCAAACATCAGAGGCATAAAAACACTACGTGAACCAAGGAGCAGAACAATTTGTCTCCAAATCACAAAGGCGTAGTCAGATGAAACGATCGGAGATCAACCTAGGGAATCCGATGTGTATTATGAAGGCAGATTAGGCATGAAGACATTGTCACCTCAGTGCTATTTTCTGTTTGACGAACGAACTAGTTATGCATGCAGTAAGGCCATTTTGGCACAACAACTACTGAAGCTACGAACACACTATAGAAGAATGAAACATAGTACTACCTGCAGCAAAACTACTGAACTAACACTAGAGCATAAAGCAACACTAGATTTCATTAAAGTGGAAAAGCTGACCTTGAGATACAACTCAACATTGCGGGCCTTAACCCGCTCGAGGAGTGCCATCCAGTCAACGCGCTTTGGTCGGAGCTCCTCCTTCCACTCCTCCATGGCAGGAACTGGGTTGCCTTTCCTCGGCTCAGTCGCCAGCAGTTGCTCCTCGGCCTTCTTTGCCTTCCCATCTACAGCCTTGGCCTCCTCCGGCACAAAGTGTGCCTCAGCTTCAGCTGCCCGCTCAGCCACCTCAGCCCACTTTGGGTCTGACAAGTCCAACCCAGAGATCTTGAACTTAACCTCCCCCTTCCTCTGCGGCAACGCGGTTAGCCTCGCCGGCGGGGGTGCCGCAGGGCTATCAGCCGCA